TATCTATCTATCTATCTATCTATCTATCTATCTATCTATCTATCTATTATCTGTCGGCAGGGTTTCTCTGTGTAACAGCCCTGGCTGTTCCTGCCTATGCCTCCAGAGTGCTGGGATTAAAGGCCTGTGCCACCACTACCCAGCCAGATTTTTTTTAATGTATATATTATTAATGTGTGTGATCTCTCGAGTGTGATCTAGGGAAGGGGCACACGTTTCACGGCACACATGTGGAGGTCAGAGGACAGTTTTAAAGAGTTAGTCTCTCCTTCCACCTTTACATTGGGCTCTGGAAGTTGAACTTAAGTTGCCAGGTTTACATGGCAAATGCTTTACCTAAAAACTGAGCCATCTTACCAGCCCTATATCTGAGCTTGTGAAAAATTATTATTTAACTTTATGCATAGGAGTGTGTGCCTAAGTACATGGGTGCAGGAGCCTGTGGAGGTCACAAGCAGAGTCGGATCCCTAGGAAATGGAGTTACATGTGGTTGTGAGCCACAGAATGGGTGTTGGAAACTAAACTTGGTCTTCTGCAAGAGAGTACATACTCTTAACTACTCAACTATCTTTCCAGCCCCATCATAGCTAAGATTATACGTAAGGATACTAAGACCTTCAATCTGTTAGAATTGCCTAAATGAAAACTAATCTTCAGTGTTAGGCGGCCAGGTTATCTTGGATATATGTTTTTTTCAGCCTTTTGGAGTCTGCATTGTATTTTAATTTTGAAGTAAAGAGAATGTTTTTTTAACCTCTCCCGTATCACTTTTAAGAATAGAATGGTAGATACTCAGTTTATTTTTTCATGTGGAACATTATTATTGCTTGTTTGGCTTTGCAGTAATGGTCTCTAATGACTTTAATTTTTAGGAAGGTAACTGGAAAGAGACTGTGAATGAGACTGGATTTCAGCTAAAGGTAAGGATGTTTATATGAATTAACTCTCTGTGTTTCTTTACAGCTCCTCGCATGGTAGCATGTACTTAATGGAAATGTGACTCTTACTGACTGAGCAAATGGTAGGAATCAGCTTTGCATCTGATATCATTGGCAGGCTTTGCCAAGAAGCCCCAGTTCACATTTGATTTGAGTAATTTTAGTGCTGCTTGGGCCATAATGGGCAGTTTCCTAATTCTACCAGAAAATCTTTTAAACCAGCAATTTAAATTCAGCCTGTAGATTCTTCCTATACTACACTAGTGTGTCTGCATTTCCATTCCCTTGAATTCTGTCTGACCACTTCCCACATTTGCTTACTCTGTGAGATGAGATGTAGGAAACCCAAGCTTGGCTTTCCAACATTGGAAGGCTAAAGGACGAGACTTTGGTTGTGTTTCTAGAGCATGAGATCTGGTACCCAGCTTGAAATGAAGGTCATTGTGAAATGGCCTCTGTTAGGGATGCAGGCTCACAGTCATTAGCATCAGTGTTTTAGGCTTAGGAGTATTTTGTGTTTCAAATTTTACATAAAGGGATACTCAGCTGGCTAAGTCTGAAGACACTGTAAAGGCCCACACATTTCAGATAAGAGATGCTGAACTTGTATTTAATATAAGATAGTAAATAATAGCCAGGCATACTGACATACATCTTTAGTACCAGCATGGGACGAAGAGGCAGGAGGATCTCTGAGTTTGAGGCCAGCCTGGAACCACATAGTGAATTCCAAGACAGCCAGGGCTACATAGTGAGACCCTGTCTTAAAAATAAATATTTTTTAAGATGGTAAATGATGTATATTATGTATATGTATAGTATATGCAGGCAAGAAAAACAAATCATGCTAGGCTTGGTGGGATACACTGAAATCCCTCTGGAGGTAGAGGCAGGAGGATCAGAAGTTGAAGGTCATCCTGAGCTGTGCAGCAAGTTTGAAGATAGCCTGGGCTACCTGAATCTTGGTCTCAAAAACAAACAAACAAACACAAAACAATAAATAAATAGCTCTTAGAGCATCCTATATGCATTGGCATATAGGAATTTGACATTCAGCACAGAATAAACAGGAAGTGCAATCGGATGTTTGATTTGGTCATGAACTGACTCTTATTACTTGATTATTTTATTGGTAGATACCAGTTTCTTGATTGTTAATTCAGCACTTGGTGGTGCTTAGAGGAAATGTTGTAATTTTAGTTTAGGGATGGATTAGAAATATTTTGAAACTTTTACAAAGCTTCATATTTTGAAAGTTTTTCTGAGAAATATTGTAAGATATATTACAGGTGAATAAACATAAGACTAAAATCAAATTATTAATTCTATATTAAATATCTATATTTAATATATCTAAATTCTATATTAAATGTCTATATTAAATTCTATATTAAATATCTTATGATATTTAATCACTGATTTAACTATTAGTCACTTGACTTATCTATCTGTCCTTATACTTAACTTTTGTTCCAAGTTTGGTGATGTTGAGAAAGCACATGATTTTTGTCTGTTATTATAGAATGTGCTGTTTCTGGGGTCCTTTAAATCAAATGGGCAGATGGCTTTTAAAATACTTAGGTATTTGCATAGCCTTATGGTTAAAAGCTTGAGTCTTGAATTTTGTTTTGTTATGTATACTTCTTGTTTTAAGTCTGTCTTCCTTGAAGGAAATGGGATCTTTTCCAACAACCTCACAGTGCATACACAAGCATTGATATATGACGCGGTGCACATACATACATAGGTATACGCACATACACACATCTAGGGTCACAGCTAACTTATATGAAGTTCGTATATCTAGCAGTTATAGTTCAGCTGATCACTAGAAGCTATCATTACGTAACACTTGAGTTTTGCACTATTTAAGTGGATGTAACATGGCTTACTACTACACTTTTAGAAACAAAGTGTTTTTCTCAGGCCCCATTTGATGTGTGCAGTATTTATAGAATTACTTGTGGCATGTAGTTCAGTGGAAGGAAAACAGAGGCTTGTTCTTAGAGTAATGAACACATAAGCTAGGGCAGTGCAGGCATTCAATTAACTATATGAGAGTACCCACTGTTTTGTGTTCCCTAGTCTTAAATGAACAGAGGCTGATTCAGAAGAATCTGAAACCTTTTCTCTTGCTTGGAGCAAGGAATGGCAGAGACAAGGTTTGGGCCCTCTGATGGTCTCTGAGAGTCTACATTCTGAGTGCCCAGATCTAGTATGTGAGCTACTCACTGCTCTAAGTGCTGTGCAGGCCATGGCATGTTCTAAAGGAGTGTGTAATATAGTTTTAAGGATGGTAAATCAAGTCAGGCATGGTGGCGTGTGCCTGTAATCCCGGCACTCAGAAAGGCAAAGGCAGGCAGATCTCTGTGAGTTCAAGGCCAGCCTGGTCTACAAATTGAGTCCAGGTCAGCCAAGGCTACACAGAGAAACCCTGTCTCAAGAAACAAACAAAAAAAGAGAGATGACAAATCATTTAAATAAAAAAATAATAATTTGAATAGTAATAAGTAGCATAAAAGGAATAGACTGTGATCATTTTTAGAGACAGCAGGGTTAATTTTTCTGCAGTTACTTTAAGATGAGTGTCAGTCAGGCATAGTGGTTAGCAACACAAAAAACAAGTTTCCCAAAAGGGAATAAAAAAGTATTCTAAACCAAATGTGAGTAAATATAGCCTGGGAACACAGAATTGGGTTGCCTAGAATGCTGTACTGTGGAGGGTGCATGAGTTTCATAGTCAGAACGAAAGTTAGTCATATATTAGTGCCTTTGCAAAATACTTTGGTGGGGACAGCAGGTGGGCAGGTTACAGAAAAGCCAGGAAAGGGAGGGCTGCTATAGGGTTTAAGATGCTTTTTAATGACATTCTTAGCCTGTGGGATGGTGGAAGCTAGTGGTCTCTTAAGAATATATTCCCGGGGCCCTGGAGAGATGGCTCAGTGGTTAACAGTACTAGCTGCTCTTCCAGAGGACCCAGATTCAATTCCCAGCACCCACAAGACAGCTCACACCTGTCTGTAACTTCAGTTCCAGAGGATCTGACACAGAGGTACATGAAGGCAAAACACCATTGCACCAGAAAATAGAAATAAATAAATCATTAAAAAATATATATATATATATGTGTGTATGTATGTATATATGTATATATATATATATATGTATATATATATATATGTGTGTGTGTGTGTGTGTGTATATGTATATATTCATTCCAAGGTCTTTACCTGATAGTCAAAAGTTAGGTCAGTTACCCCAGCTAGTAATAAATGGCTATAAAAGGGACTAAAGGTAGTCCAAGATAGGGTCAAAACTTCCTTGGCACAGCTCCAGAGTCAGTGTGTATTCAAATTGTGCTTCTTTGTGAAACCAAAATGGATAATTAAGAAACACATACAGCATGGTTTCAGATAATTCCGTTTTAAAGAGGGACGATAAAGGGTGTTATAATAATAGGGACCTCTTTGGGTGTTCAGTGGGGGAGAGTCTAAGTGGGTTGGTCAGGTTTGCAGAGGCCCAGAAAGCTCTTCAGAGAGTTGCCTTTGGAGGAGTCTCTGGTTTGGTCACATTTTTAAGCATCTTTTATGTGTTATCTTAAAATGAGCAGATGGTAATGAGACTGAGCTAACAGGCATGTTTAGTAAGGCAGGTTTGGTAGGATCAGAAAGTGAGATTTGAAGCTGGGCATGGTAGCACACACCTTTGATCCCAACACTCGCAAAAGAAGCAGAGACAAGTGGATCTCTGAGTTTTGAGGATAGCCCAGGCTACACAGAGAGACTCTATCTCAAAACAAACAAACAAACCCCAAACAAACATGAGATTTGAAGGGATGGGAGACCCAGCGCAGTGGTAAGAGCTGGCTGTCCTCACAGATGATTCAAGCTCAGGTCTCAGTACCCAAGTGGTAGCTCACAAACTGCCTGTCTGTAACCAGTCCCAGGAGAATTACTGCCTTTTTCTGGCCTCCACAGGCATGGCAGACAAACATGTAGGCAAAACACTGTCACACATGAGTAAGTAAACTTAATTAGTGTAAAGTGAGGTGTGAGAGGTGGAAGAGCCGGCTTAGCAATTAAGAACATTTGCTACTTTGTAGAGGACATGGGTTCTTTTCTCAGCTCCACAATGGCTGCTCATGAACCAACCTCCAGTCTTCTTCTGGCTTCAGCAGTAGGCATGCATATGACACACATACATACACACAGGCAAAACACTTGGACAGGTAAAATAAAAGGAGTAAGTCTGTAAGCTTCTTCAGTATCCTTAGCTGTGCGGAGCTGGGCTCTGGGGCGGAGGACTCTGTGGGGAGCACATTTGTCTTCTTGTTTCTTTTTCATTTTCTTAGATAATCGGGTAGGCTTGGTGGCTTTAGTTTGCTTTGTTTTAATTAAGAGCATTTGTAATTGTGGGTTGTTAATTGGAATATTGTGAAGTCTTCATGAGGATAGAGGTTTTTTTGTGTGTTTTTGTCCCGTCCTCCCCCCCCCCCCCCCCAGGGTTTCTCTGTGTAGCCCTGGCTGTCCTGGACTGCCTCCTTCTGTAGAACAGACTGGCCTGGAACTAAAGAGATATACCTGCCTCAGCCTCCCTAGTGCTCCCTAGTGTTGGGATTAAAGGTGTATACCACCATGCCTGGTGAGGATGGAGTTTTTTGTTTTGTTTTGTTTCGGTTTTTTTTTTTTTAAGCAAAATTACATTTTGAAATTGATGTATAGTTGAACTACTTTTTTTTTTTTTTTTTTTTTTTGATGAGCACTAATTCCTGTGCCTTAGACAAAAAGTTATTTAGTTTTCTTTCTTTTTTTTGTTGTTGGTTTTGTTTTGTTTTTGGAGACAGGGTTTTACTGTGTAGCCCTGGCTGTCCTGGAACTCATTATCTAGTCCAGGTTGACTTCAAACTCACAGAGGTCCACCTGCCTCTGCCTTCCAAGGGCTGGGACTAAAGGCATGCACCATCAGTTTTAAGTAAAAATTGAGGATTAAGTATATATCTCATGGAATGAAATTGTTATTCAGTATTTACCTCTCCTTCTCTTCTTAGAAAAAAGTTATCTAGAACTAAGTAAAGTTGAGAAGATGTGCTATCTCATAAGCCAGGCACACTGCCTCCCACCTGCACTCCTGCTCGGAGGCTAGAGCCAAGAGGCTGGGGAGCTGGAGCTGGAGAGAGGGCTCAGCAGCTGAGAGCGTCGACTTCTCTTCCAGAGGACCTAAGTTCAGTTTCCAGCACCACACCAATAATAATCTGATCTGATTCCTTTTTCTGGCATGCAGGCGTACATGCAGACAGAGCACTCTTATACTTAAAATAAATAAGTACATCTTTAAAAAAAAAAAAGGGGTGAAAAGTTAAGGCCAGCTTGGGCTACGTGAGACCCTGTCTGAAAAGCCAAAACAAACGAAAAAGAAAGGGATGTCTTCAACACTTTGAACTAGCTCTATAGCAATGTGTGCCATCTAGCCTCCTTTATTTAGCATAGCATTACTTTAAAGTAGGTATTTTCATAGCTTTTTCTAAGATGTTGATTATGATAATGAGAAAAATGAAGGCCCATTGGTTTGGATTCCACCTGAGGACTACTCTCAGAGCACACAGGATCTTCATAATGCAGCAGGCTCACAGCCGATCATTGCTTTTCTTGAAGGCTTAGAGAAAAGTAAGCCTTCTGTGACCCACTGTATGTAGAGCTGGTGTCATTACTGGTACACTGATGTTGCGGTTGTGGTGCTTCGGAATCACTGAAGGCTGTGTATTCATTCTGATTTATAACATGAGTGTGTAGTGTTCTCAAAAACAATTACTAAGCTACTCTTGTTCAGTATGTTTAATGTGCTTTCAGCAAGTGATAAAAAGAAAACCATATTTGAGCACTTTAATTCTAAAGGAAAAGTAAAACTGTTTGAATTTTATACCCTGAAATGTAATTGTATTAAGTCAACAAATTATTTTTTCCAGGCAGACTCCAGGTTAAAAGCGCTTAATGCAACATTCAGAGTGAAAAACCCAGACAAGTAAGGCTTTGCTTTAATAACAGTTTGCAATGTTGTTTTGAATGCTGCCTATCAATCTATTTAATTTTTCATTTCTGAATGTATGCACTTAATTTGCTAAATATTTTAAATAATAATTCATATTCAGTGAAACCTTTTTCAAGTCTAAAACTGATTTTAAATTTTGGTATTTTGAATTTAAGGTTGTGTCTGAAGTTTCAGAATATTAGACTATTGCATTTTCTCCTAGAAAGATTCATTAAATGTTGAAAATAACAGAAAAATGAGAAAACCGATTTCCTGTAGTTTTTCTTGTATGACTGCTTATCAAACGTACATAGTTTTTAAGAATTATGTATTTTATATATAATAACAGTCTGGTTTGGATGCCAAACAACTGAGGGTAAATGCATAAGGTAAGGGTCTTGAGGTGCTGTGTTTGCACAAGTCTTTGACTTCATGACCATCAGCCTAGTGCTCTTGGGAGCTGCTGCACTGGATGCAGGCATTTGCTGACCTGACTCCGGGGGTAGACAGATACTAGAGGTTTAAGTTTGCCCACTCTGCATGGTGGATGGGCCAGGCTCTACGTTGCATGCTCCTTTACAGGAAGCATCCTGTCTAGAGATGGCTGTCGGTCCTTAGGCAGATACTGTTATTTTGTTTTCAAGGAGGTGGGCTAGATTTCTCTAGTGAGGCCTAAAGCACTAATTTCGCTGTAGGCTAAGTTCTTATCAGATGAAGCCCAAGTTTGCATATTTTGATAACATGTCATATCTGACTATAACTAGCAAACTATGACATTATTAACAGTAATGCCTCTGTTTTGCTTGTTTTGTGGTGAGGATGAGACCCAGGGCCTCTTGTATGCTAGGCGAGCCCTCTGCTACTAAGCTAACTCAGTAGCCCTTATTGATTTTTAATGTAGATTTTGAAAAGAAAAAAAATGAATGGATATTTTTAAGGTTTTGGTAGTTAGGAAGTGGTAATGATAACCATTGAATTTTTCTGTTTTTTTCTATCATTATTATTATATTTTTTGGCTTTTCAAGAAAGGGTTTCTCCGTGCAACCTTGGCTGTCCTGAACTCGCTTTGTAGACCAGGCAGGCCTTGAGCTCTGCCTCTACCTCCCTGAGTTCTGGGATTAAAGGTTCTCCACCATAACCTGCTTTCCTTTTTTATTTTTAATTAACGTGTGTGAGTGCTGGGGTCAGCAACCATACTTATCTCCATTTTAATGTTTTGAGTAGGATCCCGTATGGCTCCAACAGGTCTCAAACTCCTGGCCCTCCTAACTATGCCTTCTGAGTGCTGGAGTTACTAGTGTGTGTCACTACACCCAGCATGTTTTGTTTTGTTGTTATTTGTTTATTGCATCATTTTTTAGAGAAAATTTAGGTTTTTAGCAACACTGAGCACCAGGTGTAGAATGTCCCCATTTGCTCCCCAGATCCTCATTTTTCACCTCTCACAACAGAGTGCTGCATGGCCAGAGCTTATTGAGGATGTTCTAGCTCACTGTGCACAGCTCAGGGCCATGCAGAAGAGATGTCCTAAAATCCTCTCCTCCCTCCAGCACAAGTAACTTTTTTAAAATAATTAAAAAATTTTTATTGTTAAATTTATTACAGTTTATTCATTTTGTATCCCAGCTGTAGCCCCCTCCCCCATCCCATCCCCTCTCAATTGTGCCCTCCCTCTTCTCCTCCCATGCTCCTCCCCCAGTCCACTGATAGGGGAGGTCCTCCTCCCCTTCCATCTGACCCTAGCCTATCAGGTCTCATCAAGACTGTCTGCATTGTCTTCCTCTATGACCTGGTAAGGCTGATTACACACACACACACACACACACACACACACCCGTCAGGGGGAGGCAGCCACTGGGCTCATGTCAGAGACAGCCCCTGTTCCTCTTACTAGGGAACCCACTTGCCACTTGGAGACTGAGCTGCCATGGGCTACATCTGTGCAGGGGTTCTAGGTTATCTCCATTCATGGTCCTTGGTTCGAATATCAAGTCTCAGAAAAGACCTCTGTTTCCAGATTTTTTGGTTCTGTTGGTCTCTTTGTGGCACTCCTGTCCCCTCCAGGTCTTTCTATCTCCCTCTTCTTTCATAAGATTCCCTGCACTCTACCTAAAGTTTGGCTATGAGTCTCAGCCTCTGCTTTGATACCCTGCTGGGTAGAGCCTTTCAGAGGCCTTCTGGGGTAGGCTCTTGTCCTGGTAACTTTCTATTTTTGCTGTTTCCATAGTTTTTCCTTTTCAGGATTGTCATACCAAATAATAGGTAGCCTTTCAAATTGATTTCTTTCATTCAGGTCCCATTCAGGTTTTTATAAGTGTTATAATGACATGCATAACAGTTAATAATAGTGTTTTGTAAATTAGAACTAAAATTCTAAGTTACTCTAAAAGAAACAAGCTACGTTTGTGACATTGGTGGATGCATATTTGTTACAGGCTCTTATTTTTATTGATACTTTAATGTTAATGTTTTGTTAATTAAATTTTTTATCAGTTTTATTTTTTAACAGTTCTAATCTTGCCTATCATAACCTTGTCAGAAAGTTTCATATACTGTGGTTTTAGTTACTAGTTTTTCTTGCCTGAAAAAAAAAAAAATGAAACATTGACTTCTGTTAAATCATATATAAAATAATAGTTTTTCTTTTAAAGGAAAACCACACAAATATTCAATTATGATTTGTTTAGGTCCCTTGAGTTTCCAGATTATCTACTTCAATCTCTTTCCTGTGCTGAGATTGGAGCAGGATGTATGTTTAGAAATTAGGATAGAGTTGGAGTTCTCTTTAAGAGGCCCATGTCAGGAGCTGGCAGTGTAAAAGTGCATGCCGCACAGGCCTGACAACTTACTTTGCTCCGTAGAACCCATATGAAAAAGCCAGATGCGATGGTGCACATCTGTAATCGCAGCACTTCTATGGTGAGATGGGATGTGGGGTCAGGAGACTCTAGAAATTCACAGGCCTCCACATACATGCCATAGCTCACCCTGCTCACATTAACTCAAACGCAGAGTAGTAATAAACAGGAAAACAAAAAACAAAAAAACAGGCTCAGGGTACTATAGTAAGAGCTCCCAAATAGGCAGGGCAGTAGGAGCAGGAACTGCAGAAGCTGAAAGGGGAGGATTGGTGCTGACTGACATCTGTGGTCTCTTATGGCGACAGTCTTCACAGTACAGTGGGCTCTTTTTCTTTAGGGTTGATTTTAGGTGGTGGTTGGTGGTACAGATTGAAAAGGTGTAAGTGTGGCCTGGAGAGGTGGCTCAGTGCGGAAGAGCAGCTGTTACTCCCTGCAGAGGACTTGGGTTCAGTACCCAGCACCCACATGGTAGCTCACAACTATCCGTAACTCCAGCTCCAGGGGACCCTGTGCTCTTTCCTGACCTCTGTGAGCACCAGCCATACACGTGGTACATATACACATACATGCAGGCAGAGCTCTCACACATAAAATGAATAAATCTTTTTTTGGGGGGAGGGATACAGGATCTTAGTATTTATCCAGCTCCCTTAAACACACTGTGTAGACCAGGCTGTCCTTGAATCTACCTGTTCTCTGTTTGCTGAGTACTGGGACTAAAGGTATGTGCTACTGTGCCTGGCTTTTAAAAAAGTATAAGAGAATTTGTATATGACTTAATACTGTCAGTGTGATTAGACAGAAGGTTAAAATCAGGAGAAAATACAAGAGTGCTGTGAAGTAGACAACAGCTGACTCAAACTGTGTCTGCGCCTTTGAGCTTTCAGATTGAACAGAAAAGGCCTGTGGGGAGGTAATTTTGATGTTTTGATGAGTTTTGAATAATGAATGAGAGTTGCGTGGTGGGGAGGCACTGTGCGGGTGGAGAGGGTGCAGTGACTGCAAGCTGAGTGAATGTGGAAGCAGGGAAGATGAAAGGCAGTGTTGGCTGTAATGACTGGGATTATTTTGAAAGGAATACAAGATGAGGTGGCTTGCACTGACGTAGAAACCCAGGTGTACAGGCTCTGAGAACCTGTGTTTTTACTTGGCTCTGGTTCAGGCATTGAAGATGGTTACTGTTACGAGAGAATGGCGTTCTGGCATACCCCCCCCCCCCCCACACACACACACACACCACGGTTTCTTTGTGTGGCCCTGGCTGTCCTGGAACACCCTGTAGACCAGGCTGACCTTGAACTCAGAGCTCCACCTCCTCGGCCTCACAGTCCCCCCTTGGAGAAAAGGTGTGTGCCACTGCCACCCGGCTATGTATACTTCTTTAATCTCTCCAACAATACTGTGTCACTTAGGGTATAAGACAGGCCTTATTGCATCCTTCTCATGCAATGCTAAAAGGATTTTGACTTTGACAAAGCATCTAGACCTCATTTCTGGAATCCATGCCTCCATTTCTTACATACTAAGGCTTGATGGGTTCTTCCGCTTTCATCATTAAGCCTTCCTGTTTCCTTGAAGATGCAGGCTTTGTTCTGACCACTGCTGTGGACGGCTAGAATCTTAACTCTGGCTGCTGATATGATTGATCCCATGGGGAGCTGTTCTCTCCTTACCCACCTGTCATTTAAAAGAAAGCATGCCATTCTGTTCCTCAGATGGGCAGTCTGTCACTGGGCATGTTAGGACCTCTGATGTTAAAGTTATTTTTACATATCTGTGTTTGTTCTCAGTTTCTCTCTTAACCCAGCTATCACAATTGACTCTTTTATATCTGTTTAATAACAAGCTTTACAACATAATAACTGAGGCATTGATACTCTTATTTTTAACCCTCTAAGCTAATTTGGTTTCCTCCCAGTGTACATCCCAGAGATACTTGGCACTTTGTAGATTTCTTTGCTGAGCTCCTCTTCTCGTGGCTGAATCCCCCACTTCCTCCTCTAACTCCTCCACCCCTGGCTGGCAGGAAGTCTGTCCCGGTTCTCATCCCTGCTCAGCGATTGGCTGGAAGCTGCTTTATTGGCATACCAGAGAAGGATTAGGGAGCAGTGTTTGCACAACATTGAGACAGGACATTCTCAGAACAGGGAGTGTAACAGGATATGGGGGTACAGAAATTAGCGTTTGAATCACACAGTAACCTTACGCCTACACTCTGGTTCACTTAGGTGGACTGCACCTTTAACTGTTTATTTTCTTCTGAAATTTCTCATAACCAAGGGTGACAGTAAAAGTTTATAATTAAGCCTGTTCTTAAAGGAAATACCTTTAGGGAATCAGGCCTAGAGTCCCTATAGGAACTAGTTGTAAAGGGTTTTTGACTCCTGGTCCCTAGCACAAGATTTGATTAAGGCTATACATAGTAGTACATACCTTTAATCCAGCATAAGTGTTCAGGCCAGCCAGGGCTACATAGGGAGACCATGTCTCAAAAACAAAAAATACAAATAAATAAGATTTGATCAAGGACTGACAGGGCTTAATGATTTACTCCCGACATGTACCAACTAACACTTAGGTACAGTTATTAACTTCTACCGGAAAACACTACTTGCTAAACATTGACTCTGAATTAAGAAAGCAGTTTAGGATAATGCTTTTTTAAAAAAACTAAATTTAGGGGGCTGGAGAGGTGGCTCAGAGGTTAGGAGCACTGGCTGCTCTTCCAGAGGTCCTGAGTTCAATTCCCAGCACCCACATGGTGGCTCACAACCATCTGTAGTGAGATCTAGTACCCTCCTCTGGCGTGCAGGGGTGCATGCAGACAGAACACTGTATACATAATAAATATATATATACATATAAAATTAAATTTGGACATCTCAAAATTGACTGTATACTCTACTCCAATAAGGTTTCAAGTACATGTGTCGATTGCTGCACGTGGAGGGGTGTAAATGGACAGTCTCACCCTGTCCCTCTCTGTCCACTCTCACGTTCTTCCCTAGAGTTTGATATCTCAAAAGTCTTTAGATTTTTTTATTCTACAAATGTAAGCAAAATTATAGAGTCCATTTCCTTCCTCTCTCTAGGGCTGTAAGCATCTTTCCAGCAGGGGTTGACTCATGCTTGCGGCCCTTTAATGCCTGAATTATTTCTTACATGAGAAGCGCTGCCTTGAGGACTGAGAGTAGTGGAGGCTGTTTAGTCAGTGGCGGATTCCCACGGCTGGCCTGCAGCTTCTGAGTAGATGAGCCATAGTAACTGTGTGCAGGGGCTCTGGGTATTACATCTGTGTTAAAGAAGTTAGGCTTTGGGGCTGGAGAGATGGCTCAGCAGCTAAGAGTGGTTAGTGTTTTCCAGAGGTCCTGAGTTAGGTTCCCAGCAGCTATGCTAAGTGGCTTAACCACCTGTAACTCCAGTTCCAAAAGGATTCAACAATTGTGACCTCTTTCTTTGTCTTTTGCGTGTGTGCATGCGCGTGCCCACACACCAACATCTTTTTAAAAAATTAGGTTTTTTTGTTCTGTTTTGTTTTTGTGTGTTTGTTTTAATCAATGGCTAATCTTAGCCAGAAAGAAACCTACTTAAAAGCAGGGTAATTGTGTAGGTTTTGGCTTTAGAAAGATTGTCTAAGTAGAGGGGGCAGTAGATTAGTATGGGGGTGTGGTAGAGCAGTCAGGGCAGTTAAGAGAATTCCAGGTGAGAGACAAGGTGCTAATATTGACCTAAGGTACTGGCAGAAAGGCCAGATCAATGTGAACAGATGTGGGCAACATTTAAGAAGTAGAACAGTTAGGCTGGGTGTATAGCAGAGGGCGTAGGGTGAAGGAGGTGAGGACAAAATTCCGAGAGCTCTCGGGATTCACTCTGTAAGGTTGTTGTTGGAGCATGGGCGTATTAGGGGTGATGGAGGGAGAAGTAGGTCACGCTGTGCTATTTGGGGTGGTGTAGATGTGGGTTCTAGAAGAGTTCTGTGTTAGAGGTGGGAATTTGGAATGTGGTGGTATATCGTTCGTAATCATAAACATAAAGCTGTATGAACAAGCCGTGGGATGAATGGATTTATTGAAGATTCATGAGAAAATGGCTGAGAATGAGGGCTTGCACCATGAGCCTTTCCAGAGTGTAACCTGAGGGTAACCAGCACCTGAAATCCAGGGGTGAGCGTGTTCTAAGTGCCAGTGGACCTCTGTGTGTGGCACCCCACACTCCTCTCCCAGTGAGGGACCTCAGTAGTGGCTCAGGCTTGGGTTTTTTAGTGTTGTTGTTTTAAAAACAGGACCTTAGTCTGTAGTCCAGGCTGGCCTCAGATTCACAGTGAACCATGCATCTTAGCTCCCCAAGAGCTGACGGATTATAAACGTAAGCCGTCATGTCCAGAGCTCAATATATGTCTGTACAGATACGTGTGTGTGTGTGTGTGTGTGTATGGAGAAATGTGCTGTGTGTGTAGATGGTATATGTGAATATATGTGTGCAGCTTCCCAAGAGCTGAGCGATCACAAACGTAAGCCATTTTGTCCAGATCTCGAGAGAGAGAAAGAGAGAGAGATAGTGTTGTGTGTGTGTATTATATGTGTACATGGTATATGTGAATATGTTCAGGTTCCAGAAGAGGACTTTGGTCTTCCTCTGTTGCTGCTCACCTCATTCATTCATTCATTCGTTCGTTCGTTCGTTCGTTCATTCATTCATTCATTCATTCATTCATTCATTCATTCATTCATTCATTTTGAGGCAGTCTCTCTCATTGAGCCTAAAGCTCACCATTTGGGTAGTCTAACTGGGCAGTAAGCTACCAGCATCCACCCTTACAATTGCTTGAGCTACAAACATGAAGGCCATTCCTGTCTTTTATGTGGGTGCTGGGGATTTTTGGAAAGCTTTCTTACCTACTGGAGTCATCTCCCCAGTCCCTCTCAGTAGCTTGCTTTCTTTCCTTTCTTTCCTTCTTTCTTTCTATTTTCTTTCTTTCTCTCTTTCTCTGTTTCTCTCTCTCTCTTTATTTTCTTTCTCTCTCTCTCTTTCTCTCTTTCTTTCTTTCTCTCTTTCTTTCTCTCTTTCTTTCTTTCTTTCTTTCTCTTTCTTTCTCTCTTTCTTTCTCTCTCTTTCTTTCTCTCTCTCTTTCTCTCTTTCTCTCTTTCTTTCTCTCTTTCTTTCTCTCTCTTTCTTTCTCTCTCTCTTTCTCTCTTCCTTTCTCTTTCTTTCTCTCTTTCTTTTATTTTTATTTCATTTTATTTTTATTTCATTTCATTATTTCATTTCATTTCATTTTTTATTTTTTATTTTATTTCGCCTTGACTGTTTTGGACTCACTTTGGAGACCAGGCTGACCTCAAACTCACAGAGATCTGCCTGCCTCTGCCTCCCAGAGTGCTGAACTTACAACAGAAATGCATCACCACGCCCGGCTTCAGTGGGTATTTTTAACAGACATTTCAGGACTTCTTCACACACTTAGCTATGGGTGAAGAAAGTGAGTATTACAGGAGAAACTTAAAGGATGACTAGAGAGTAAAATGGGTTAACTGCTAAAAAGAAGTTGGTTGGGAAGGGCTAGTGAGGTGGCTTAGCAGTTAAGGACACTGGCCACTCTTCTAGAGGCCCTGAGTTCAATTCCCAGCAACACATGGCTCACTACCATCTCTAAAGGGATCTAATGCCCTCTTCTGGCATGTATACCAAGTACACAGAGCACTCCTACATTTTAAAAATAAATTAATTAATTAAAAAAAAGAAGTTGGGAAATAAGATGAGGTGTAGAATCTAGAGCATAGGATGGAAACTGGTTCTAAGGAAAATGAGGAAATGAGTAGATTTTCGAAAGCTTTAAATTGATTGGCAGAAGCAAAAGTAGGGTCCCTCCCACATAGATAACTGGCTTCTGTTATCTGTGTGGAGAGTGACATTAGAATTTTGATGTCAGGCTGGAAAGGTGGTTGAGTGGTTTAGAACGCTTGCTGCTCTTTCAGCGGGACCCAGCTTCAATTCCCAGCACCCACATGATGGTTTACAATCGTATATAGTTCCAGTTCCAAGGCATCTGATATCCCCTCTGACCTCCATGGATACTGAGGGTGCAAGTGGTATATCAAATTCACATAAGATAAAGTATACACATCTATTTTTTAAAATATCTTAATGTCTTTATTGAGTAAAGCTTTGGGTCTTTGTGGAGAATGGGAAGCAAAGGTTACTGAAAACCATTAAGAATATTAGAGACTGCTATTTGGGTTGCACTATATATATTTTTCAGCACCATAAATTTTTTCCTCTTTTTTTTTTTTTTTTTTTGTTTTTAAAATAGTTTTCCATACCCACAGATTTTATCTACCTTAATCCCATGATGTAGATTAAGAAGTTTGCATCTTTCCTTGGCTTTCAGAATATGTACATATTTGATGCTGTTTAGAGTATTTTTCTACTTAAATTAGTTTGTAATGTTCAGAAATAGGATCTGGTTGAATAGAGTGAGTTTCATTATTCTCAGGAATTGCCATTTGGTATGCAGACTCTGACTGCTTGCTTTCCTAAGTGATAATTTGTTTCCTGTTTCAGGAGATTTACTGAGCTGAAGCACTACAGTGATGAGCTACAGTCTGTCATCTCTCATCTCCTTCGAGTCAGAGCTGTAAGTGATCCAGAGTGACATTCCCAAGGAATGCGTCACTGTGCTTCTAAGCAGTGGGCGGAACTTGTGATGGGTGATGGATTTTACATTCAAATATAGTGCCTTTAAGAGAGGTGGGACGCTGTTTCTCTTAGAATCAGTTTGAAGGGTTTGAGCCTGTTCTTTTTCTCCTGGTGTGTAATGGTGTAGTTGACTTGACATCTTATCCAAAGGCCTGTCATTTCAGACTGGAATGTAAATAATGTAGGATTTTAGACTCTATAGAAAAATTCTTCAGTCTTGGAGGTTTTTAGAAGCTTTGTAGGATAGTTTATGTGTCTGTCGTCTGTTCAAGAAAGATAGGGTCTTTCTCTGCAGCCCAGGTTTGCTTGAACACAACTGCCCTCCTGCCTCCCCTTTCCCGTTGCATATAACTCCACACCTTGTTTTGTGTCTGTGCTCCTGAATTCTACTGAATCAACTTACTTAAGATACTGCCATGTCATTGTGCTTGGACATGTAGTTGGTTGTAATGCACATATGGAAACAGTATTTTTCAGTAAATAGAGTACCTTGAAATTTGTCATCTAGTCTTCCCAGAGGAAACATTAGAACCTAAGACAGGGTCACCAGGTCTGGGGTCATATCATATGTTGGCTGAAATCCTCCTGAGATACACTGAATACAAGAGCCCACCAATGAAGAGAATGTAGGGGCAGTTTTCAGTGAAACTAGATTGACTGTATAATAATGATTGAGGCTGGTGCCGGGAAGTCCGTGTACACTCTTCTGCTCTCCTTGAGAAATAGAGGTACGCTCTCGCTTTCCATACTTTTTTTTTTTTTAAGATATATTTTTATTATGTTTTTCATGTGTTGAATCCCCTAGAACTGGAGTTACAGATGGTTTTAAGCCTCCGTGTGGGTGCTGGGAACTGAACCCTGGTCTTCTGAAAGAGCAGCCAGTGCTCATAACTGTAGAGGCATCTCTGCAGTTCTCTGTATTCTTTGTCCGAGTCTCGGGGTTCAACACAGGGCCTCGTGAATGCTAGGCAAGTACAATACCACTGAACTCCCCTTTTCTACACTTTCTGCATTTTTTCATAATAGTATAGAAGAAAAATAGGACTGGGGGATGTATGTCCATAGTAAAGACATGATCAGAATGTACAAGGCCTTGATTTCTGTGTCTGTCAACACACACACAAATACATACACATGCACACACGGGTTGTGGAGATAGCGCAGTGTGTAAAAGCACCTGGTTGCAAGCAAGAGGACATGAGTTTGAATCTTAGCATCCTCATAGAAGCCAGATAGAGCCAGCATTGAGGAGGGGTGGAGACAGACAGATCTTGGGATCACACTGGTGAGCTAGCCTAGACAAAACAATGAGCTTCAGGTTCAGTGAGAATAAGGTAGAGAGGGACAGAAGACACTCTGTGCTTCTGTACACGTGTGTACATCATTACATACCACACATAAGGACGGGAGGAAGGCTGACTAAAGGAAGGAAACCTTGCCTTGAGTCTGCTGAGATGTTAGTCCATTTGTCCTCTGTATTACTGTTTTCTGTTGGTATAATATACCTTTACCTTTGTAAAGAAAAGAGGCTTTGTGGCTCATAGTTTTATAGGTTCAGTCTCTGGTGAAGGTCCCTCTGGCTGAGTTACACCATGCTGGATGACATCATGGTGTGAACATGTGTGAGTGTTAAAAGTAGAGATCCCAGGAAGCCAAAAGACTGGGAGGGGCCCATCTTGCTTAGTTTTTAACATTTCGGTTCTCAACTGGCATTTGCTGGGGTCCCATGATAAATAAATTCTTCCAGAGTTATGTCCTCAGTGATCTAAATATTTCTTACTAGGCCTTACCTCTTTAAAATTACACACTTTAGTGAAGACCAAGATTCCAACACACAAAGTCATAATAGAAACTACCAAACCATAATAGACTCCTTAAAGTGCTAAGTAAAGAAAGCCAAACTAGAGTGGGTAGCTGTTCCTGTTATCCCACTACTTGGGAGAAAGAACTGAATATTAGAAAGGACTTTGGGTTGGTGAGGTGAAATTTCTAGATCTTTCATTACCTTGACATTCCACACATTGAGTTTGAGTCAAGTTGAAGTTCTGACTTTATCAGTGGAGCCATGTGATACCTTCTGATTAACTTGCATTTTAAGATAGTGTTCTGAAACTAGGATAAAGGTCGTTAGATACGGACAGCACCAGCAGAGTGACATGACATAGGGATGGAAGGTTAAAGGCCCACGGGAACGTAGGCTTGAAAAATCACACACCCATCTTTTCCTAATGCTGGTGTCAACTGTAGAAGATGGCTTAGATCAGCAGTTCTCAATATGTGGGTCACAACCCCTTGGACAAGCCTCTGTCTCCAAAAATATTTACACTGTGATTCATAATAGTAGCAAAATACAGTTATGAAGTAGCAACGAAAATAATTTTATGATTATTGGTCACCACAACATAAGGAGCTTCAGTTGCAGCATTAGGAAGGTTAAGAAACACTGGCTTAGATACTGTTTAAGACAGGTGGTAAAGCCAGGTTTTTGGTGGGCACACCTTTGATCCCAGCATTCAGCTGGATCTCTGTGAGTCTGAGGCCAGCTTAGTCTACAGAGTGAGTTCCAGAATAGCCAAGGCTACACAGAGAAACCCTGTCTTGAAAAAACAAAAACAAAACCAACCAGAAAAAAAAAAAAAAGATTGACAGGTGGTAAGGTATAAACAGATAAAACTACAAGTACAGGTATTATCTTTTCTGTTGGGGAAAGGTAAAGGTTATATCACAGGTAGGAATGAGTTAAATACACAAGTCAAACAGATTCACTTAAGCAGAGCAGGTGACCTTAGAACCAGAAAAGGTTGAGTTTAAAACTGTTCTCTGTTGTTCACACCAGGCAAATACTGTAACCTTTCAGACTTTGTTTTCTAAAACAGGGAACTGGTACTTGCCCATCACATAGTAGGTACTAACTCTTGTTATAAGGATGAGTGTGTGCCTTGTGGTAATGAGAGTCCAGAAAGGTCATTTTTGTTTTGTGAGCTAAAGCAAAGGTAAATAAAACTACCACTTAACTTTCCTGACTGTTGTTTGTGCTCCGTGATGCTAGAGCGTGTTAGGATAGCCTCACTTAATGACCCTGTGGGGATAGTTTTTTGTTCTCATTTCACACAACAAGAAACAGACAAATGAAATTAATAAGATAATACCCCCGTACATAAATACGGAGATCCAGAATGAGACCATAAACCTGCCACAGGAGCCCATGCTCTTCGCCTCCTACAGGTCTATATGGACAAAGGTGGAAGAAAACTGGCACTGGGTGAGTCGCCCTGGTTGGCACAGCGTCACCTGATGGAGTTCATGTCCTTATTGCTGGAAGACAGATTATAAAGATTTGGAGTGTGCTAATGTAGTTTCACAACTCTGTGACAACTGCACTCATGGGGCTGGAGAGATGGCTCAGGTCACCATCGTCAGGTCACCCACAATGGCTCATAAACACCAGTAGCTCTAGTTCCAGGGGATCCAGTGCCCTCTTGTATACCACATACATGTGATGCACAGACTAATACACACAAGTAAATATCACATTTTTAATAAAACCTTGTTAATATTCTAAAAACATAAGTTTACTTTGCTAACATTCTAAGGGTGAAAATTACAGTTACTGATACCATATTTAATATTTATTGCATAGTTTATAAATGGTTTATATATATGGTAATGTCTGGTGTTTGCTGCGTAGTCAGAAAGGGTGGCAGGAGAGAATCATGCACAGCTCCTCTGGAAACCGCTTGTATCAGGAGTCTTTTTACTTTCTTGAGGCAGGTTCTCACTGTGTAGACATACCTGGCTTAGGCCCCACATTGTAGACCAGGCTATCCTTGAACTCACAGAGATGCCCTTGCCTCTGCCCTTCTAGTGCTGGAATTAGAGGTGGGTGCCACCGGGTCCAGCTAGGAATTTTAAATGGTCTCAGAGTCTCTGAGATCTGTGAGGAGAAAACTGGAGAAACAGCTGTGTGTGTCCGCTGTCCAAGAGCACGTCAGACTCCTTTTCCAGGGTATCTACTTCTTCTGAGTCGTAGCTTCCCAGCAGAGGAGAGGAGGATAGTCAGGGTGGCTCTGTCAGCATTCTTCTGTGGCACACCTTCTCTGGAAACAGCCTGGAGCGATGGCTTAGGTCAGCAGTGCTTGCTGTTGTGGAATACCCAGGTTTGGTTACCAGCACCCACACGATGGCTCATAACCGTCTGTCACTCTAGTTCCAGGGGCTCCAGTGCCCTCTTCTATACTGCATACGGTGGGAAAAGGTTGCCTCTCCGAGATGCTGTCTATAGCATCGTAAGCCTGGAAAAGCTCCAAGAAAGAGGCTTGCAGACTGAGTTTATACAGCTGTCTGTGTGCTGTTACTGCAGCTGTGCCAGCATGCTGGGCAGAGTGCTGCTTCTCTGCTGGCGGTGACTAACAGCTGCCTGCAAGAACTGCAGACACGAGTAAAGGTGGCAGGGTGCTCGGGGTTTGATAAGGTTTTGGAGAGAATTTTCCATTTCCGTATTTTCTTGCTTTACTGTATTAAGCATGACTATTGGCTTTTTTCCATCTCTTAAAAAATGTATGTGATTTTCAAAAGTAATCTGTACAGGACTTAAACCTAATCTCAATTTCTATTAAATATTTCAGAGAGTAGCAGATCGACTCTATGGTGTTTATAAAGTACATGGAAATTATGGGAGAGTTTTTAGGTAGGTATCATACAAACTTAAACATTTAGCTCGAATTAGTTTTCGGCTTAAAAACAGTATTTTTAAATGCTTATAATGTGTGGGTCAGGAGAGTACATTTTATTTAAATTATCTGTGTGTTTATGTCTGTTCGAATGTGAGTAGGTGCACATGTTGAGGTGTTTACGTGTGTGTGCGTGTGTAGAGGTCAGAAGTTAACAGTGGTTGTCTTTTGACTGCTCTCCCCCTTGTCATCGAGGCAGCACTCTGCACTGGATCTAGAGCTCACTAGTTTGGATTAGTCTAGCTTGCTCAGGAGTTGTCTGTTCCTTTCTGCCAAGTGCTGGGTCACCCATGCTGTCATATATATGTGAGTGCTGCTTGTCCACACTCTGGTCCTCGGGCCTGCGTGGTAAGGTGGCAGACACTCTATTCACTGATTCCTGATGGTTTGGGAACAGGGCTTAATCTTGTAGCTGTAGCTGGCCTGGAACTCCTTATATTGTAGCCCAGGCTTATGTCAGACTGTGAACAATCCACCTATCTCTGTCTCTCAAGTATTGAGACTTCCAGTCATATTTCACTGTGCACTGCAAAACAGTATTCACTGATGTCCTATAATGGCTTTCACTTTCATTCCTTTTCTTTTTTCTGAGACAAGATTTCTCTGTGTAGCCTTGGCTATCCTGGAACTTAGTTTGTAGACCAGCCTGGCCTCGAACTCACAGAGATCCACCTGCCTCTGCTGGGATTACAGTCATGCACCACCGAGCCCAGCCAGCTTTCACTTTTCAAACACTTTTATTTTAAAGCCATCTGTAAACAAAAAAGTGGTGAGAAAATTGTGTAAAATTGTGAAACTCCTGACTGAAGGGGCACAAAGCCTTTTGCTGTCTCTGTTGATGGCCTGGGGAGAATCACTGGAAACTGTTGACTAATAAAATACTTTTTCTTTCTTTTTAATATTTCATAATTTATTAGGGCTTTAACAAAATGAATGTCTCAGTTTTGTGGTACTTCAGTGACTAGAATACTTGTGTAAGGGCTGGAGGTATAGCTCAGGGGTAGAACAATTGCCTAGTTCTTTGAGACCCTGGGTTCAGTCCTCAGTACCAAACTGGTAGTACGGTATATGTATATATGTGTAAATGACTTGCATGTTTTAGTTATTTAAATCGTTTTTGTTTTGTTTTGTTTTACATTTTTATTAGGGGTGTTTTGCCTGCGTGTGTGTGTTTGTGTGTGTGCCACATATGTGTCTAGTGTGTATGGAGGCCAGAAGTTCCTCTGGAACTAGAGTTACAGATATTTGTGAGCTGCCATGTGGGTTCTGGGCCTCAACCCTACACCTTTAGAGACAGGGTCTTACTGTGTAGCCCTGGAACTCACTATGTAGTCCAGGCTGGCCTAGAGCTTGCAAAGGTCTACGTCTGCCTCTCAAGTGCTGGAATTTAGATGGGCGCCAACAGCCCACTTTTACATCTCTTTCTTTTGTGAATTTTCTTTTTTTTTGGGGGGGGGCGGAACGGGGTTCCTTTATTTCTTCTTCATCTTGTTTTGTCTTTTTTTGGTACAGGGTTTCTTTGTGTAGCCCTGGCTGTGCTGGAACTTACGTGTAGACAGATCCATCTACCTCAACCTTTCAAGTGTTGGGTTTAAAGGTGTGCACCACCACTGCCTGGCTGTTGTTGTTTTGAGAGTCTCATATAGCCCAGGCTGGCCTTAAATTTTCCATGTAGTCAAAGATGACCTTGAGCCTCCTCCTTCTGCCTCTGAAGTGCTGTGATTACGAGATGTGCTGCCACATTTAGTTTTTGTGGTACTGAGGAGCCAACTTGGAGCAAGGTAGGCAGGTGTTCTACCAATTGAGCTATATCCCTAGCTTTGAGTGTTTGTGTTCTTACCTTTAATTATTAAATTTTAAGGGAAAACCAATATGCCTGAATCACAGAAAGTTAAATCCAAATGTGGGTCCTAGCTAGAAAATGGTCTTGTAAATGACTCCACCGAATAATACCCCGTAGAACTAGTTCATGGTGTTTTGGTTCTTTCTTTTCTTCTAGTGAATGGAGTGCCATTGAGAAAGAAATGGGCGATGGACTGCAGAGCGCCGGGCATCACATGGACGTGTGAGTAACTGAAGGACTAATGCATCTGGGCCTGCGATGAAAGTAATTTAATTTAGATTATTTATATACAACATAGTAAAACTAAAATTGTAGCTTTTAGGAGGATAATGAAGAGATTGTATAAAGGAAAAGGAGTTTTTTGTTTTTTTTAAATAAAGACAGAGTCTCTACGTAGTCCTGGCTATCCTGGAACTCACTATGTAAACCAGGCTGGCCTGGCCTAGAACTTAGAGAGATCTGCCTGCCTCTGCCTCCCAAGTGCTGTTATTAAAGGTGTGTACCACCATGCCCAGGAAGGAAAAAGAGCTCTTGATGTTAAATTAATGGACGTTAATGCTGCATAAGGTACCTCCTCCACTGGAGAAGTGGAAAAGTTCTAGAGATGTTAATACAACGCACATGTACCTAATTCTACTGAAGCGTGTGCTTAACCTTGTTTCAGGGCTGGAGATACAGCACAGCTAGTAGGGTACTTGTCTAGTGTGCACAAGGCTGTGGGTTCAATCCCCAGCACCATGTAAAGCTGTGGGCACGCTTGACATCTGGGCACTGGGAAGGTGGAGGCAGGGGAACCAGAAGTTCACGATCATCCCATGATGCACATGGAGTTTGAGGACAGCTACATGAGGCCCTGTCTCAAAAAAAAAAAAAAAAAAAAAAAAAAAAATCTTTTGAAGATAAATTTATATATAAGGTATATATGAAGGCTTCTATCAAAAAAGATGAAAAAAGTTAATTGAAAAAGACATTAAGGTTAATAGAGTAGTTCAGTGGTAAAGGCCCTTGCTTCCAAGTCTGGATCCCCAGGACCCACATCGTGGAAGGAAAGGACCAGCTCCTGAAAGTTGTTCTGTTTTCTACTATGCCCCATGGTACACACGCACCGCCCCAAATAAATAAAAATGTAATTACTGTATTTAAATAGCTCTATCAAACCAGTAATAAAAAGAAAAAAGTTTTAAATGTTCTCATCATGAAAAAGGTATGTCAGGTAATGGGTATGTAAATTAGCTTGAATTAATCATGCCACAGTGTGCCTACATCAAGTCCTCACTTTGACATTGTAAATGCAGTCATTGTTAATGCTGCTTAAGCTATTCAGAGGTAAGAAAACATTTTGTTTAAATGAATTATCTTTTTGTGTGTGTCGTGTGTGTGTGTGTGTGTGTGTGTGTGTGTATGTGTGTGTGTGCGTGTGTGCACACGAGTGTGCGCATGTTCATGTTCAGGTGACCACAGAGACCAGGAGAGTGTGGGATTCCCTGGAGATGGAATTATAGGTGCTTGTAAGCCGTTACGTCTTTCAAATGTTAATGCTTGTTGACTCAGCTGGAGTTACTGATGCCTTGTTTCTTACACAGCTATGCATCTTCTATTGATGATATTTTGGAAGATGAAGAGCACTATGCAGATCAGCTGAAGGAGTATCTGTTTTATGCGGAAGCACTGCGGTGAGTATCTGATGACAGTCCTGCAGATGTACACAAGAGTTGCTTTCTAAGTGATTCCTCTATATCAGACCCTGTAATGAGGCCCAGTGTATTCCCTTGTCAGGCATGACAATGACAAGTTCCGCCCTTAAAGCATCTTCTTGACAAGAGCTTCCTGTTATGTGTTTCTGTCCTGTCTGTTTCTTCCTGCTTTTACCAGTTTGAAGACTGGGACTAAAGTACAAGCAGAATATGGAGCCCTACAGAGACAAACTGAATCCTCTCTAGAAACTTACTGGATAAGAGCTTACGCTAGTGTGTTCGCCTCCCTCCCTCTTTCATGTCTTAGTTACTCTTCTGTTGCCTTGAAGAGACCCTGTGACCAAGGCAGCTTACAAAAGGAGTCATTTAACTGGGGCGTGCTTACAGTTTTGTAAAGTTAGTCCATGAGCACCATGGTGGGAGCATGGCACTGGAACAGTAGCTGAGAGTTTCTCTGTGACCCACAAGCAGCAGGCAGAGAGAAAGCCAGGGAGCTAACCGGAATAGAAGGGCTTTTGAAGCCTCAGAGCACACCCCCGTGACACCCGTCCTAACCCTTCCCAAACACTTTAACCAACTCTATATGAGCAGACAGGGGCATTCCCATTCAAGCTGCTACTCTTTCTTTCTTTCTTTGATTTGTTTGTTTCGTTGTTTTTCGAGACAGGGTTTCTGTGTAGCCCTGGCTGTCTTGGAACTCACTCTGTAGACCAGTCTGGCCTGGAACTCACACAGATCCTCCTGCCTCTGCTTCCTGCCTCTGCACGGGGATTCAAGGTGTGCATCACCACACCTGGCTTTTTTTTTTATTCCAATTAGAAAAGACATTTTCCTGAAAGGGTTAGCTTTCAGTTGGTTTTTCTGTCACTTTGAAAAGCAGTATGAGAATTGTGTTGGAGGCTGAGCGTGGCGTGCACACCTTCAGTCACAGTGCTAGGAGGCAGAGGCAGGGGGATCTCTGTGAGGACACGGCCAGCCTTGTCCACAGAGTGAGTTTCTGGCTGGCCTCGGCAGCAGTGTAAGACTCTGTTTTCACATGGGGGGAAGAAAGAAAGAAAGAAAGAATTCTCTTGAGTAGTTGGAGAGTTGGTTCAGTGGTTTAGAGTTTGTACTGCTTTCCCAGAGGACCAAGTTCAATCCACAGTACAACTAACTACTTGTAATTAACTATAACTCCAGCTCCAGGAGATCCAGTGCCTCTGGTCTCTGCAGGCATCCGCACTCATGTGAACATGAACATGCCAACACACACACACACACGCACGCACGCACGCACGCACGCACGCACGCACGCGGAAATACAGAAGAGCTGTGTTCTTTAGCTTGTCAGCATTAAATCAGTGGCAGGTGGGCAGTGCAGAAGCTTGTATAGAAGCAAGTTTCACCAAAATGTTTTCAAGCTATGAAGCAAAAGAAAGTTGCTGAATACAGTGACATTTCTGTAGTTGCTATAAGTCATAAAAATGATTACTATGTTTTGACTTGAAAAATGTCCACAGTTTATGCTGAGTGTGAAGGTATAAACAGGAGCAGTGTAGGGGTGTGCTCTACGTGCCTGGCTGGGTTCTGGAAGTTGGACACACTTTGGTATGTGGATTGTATGTGGACAGCAAGGCTCTGGGGCGTTCTGGTACTGTTTCTACTTAGTGTATTAGGATTGTTTTTACAGTTATCGTAGTTCATTGTTATGATTTAAGGCTAAGGTATTTCCAGAACGAAAAGGAAGACGCTGCTTTCAAAGAATATCACTTGCCACGTGAGACCCAGGGTGAGCTCTGGAGCTGGGCTCGATGGGATGTACCCCTAAGCTAGCAGCTCAGGAGGCAGAGGCAAGGGACATTGAAATTCAAAGACAGCTTTGACTGTGCTTAATGAGGCTGTTTGAGAAAAAAGAGTTTAAACAATTGATAGTAGTGTTACATAATTATTAAGTCTTTACATAATTACAGAAGCCATATTTTGCTTATGGATATGCAAAGTTTTTATGCTTAGGTTCTGCTAGATTTCATTCTCAAGGTTGGACTGCTACATTTTAAACTTGAAAGTTATGGTCACATAAGCCCTGAACGTACAGAGACATTATGAATGTTTCTCCCTGGACCCCTAAAATCATGTCTGATATGTTTAAAAAGCTTGAAAAAAACAAAACAAAAAAAACCCAGCTCTTAATGGCTGTTCTTGGTCACCCCAAGGGCGGTGTGCAGGAAGCATGAGCTTATGCAGTATGACTTGGAGACAGCTGCTCAGGACCTGGCTTCCAAAAAACAGCAGTGTGAGGAGCTGGCCACTGGGGTGAGTGTTCTTCAGGTTTCCGATGCTGCTGTAGCGGGTGTGCAGTTGTAACGTACAAGATGCTTATGCCTCAGGAGAATCATGAGGGAGTAACTGTACAATTTTTTTAGTTTTTGGTTTTATTTTTTTGTTTTTGAAAGGTTTAGTACAGACTACAAAATCACTGGGTAGAGTACAGTGTCTTGTAGAGTACAGTGTCTTGACTTCCCTTACCTTTTTTAAAGGACGTGTGTGTGTGCGTGTGTGCGTGTGTGCACGTGCGCGCGCATTTGCTGTTTGAGTACAGTATCTGCAGAAGTCAAAAGAGGGCATTGGATCCCTTAGGACCAGAGTTGCAGGCAGTTGTGAGCCACCGTTCTGATGTGGGTACTAAGAACCAAACCTGGATCCTTTGAAAGAGCAGCAGATGTTCTGAGCCACCTCTCCTGCCCTTTATGATTGCTTTCTTGTTATAAAAAGATAACAGCCATCAAAATTGTGCTTCTTTTAGTCCTGTCTTAATTGGACAAGGTGTTTTATGGGAATTGTAGTTCAAGGGCTGGGAAAATAGTCAGTAGTTAGGAGTGCTTGATTCCTAGCATTTGAGTCAGGCAGCTCACAGTCACATTCGGTTCCTGCTCCAGAGGGACCTGATGCCATCCTCCGGCTTCTTTGGGCAGCTGAATGCCTGTGGACATACTCACACATATATGTTAGAAATTAAAGCATTTTAAAGACTTACCTTACTTTGGAAAGCCTTACCCATTCAGAATCAGTACGTCCCTCCTAAGAAGGGAGAGGCAGGGTCTGGAAACAGGGAGGCAGCAGAGCAGGCTGCTTCTCAGTTACTTGGTTCACATACAAGTGCTTCAGTCTGAAAAGCACTTTTCGAGGAGTCAGTGTGGTAGCGCACACCTTTAATCCCAGCGCGGGGAGGCAGAGGCAGGCGGTCTCTGTTGAGTTTGAAGTCAGCCTGGTGTACATAGACAGACCCTGTCTCCAAAAAGACACTACCATAATTACTATTTTCAAGTAGTGTCAGGATAATCACACTGTTTATGTTTGCGTACTTTGAAACTAAAACCGTTCCCGTTGAAAGCTCCAGTCTTCTCCCCGGCTCTGGAAGTCACAGTCCACTTGGTGCCTCTGGTTGGCCCCTAGATGCCCCACTTAGGTAGAGTCACACAGTACTTGTCCCTGTGGCTGCTGTCACTCGTCGCGAGGCTCTCCGGCTCACCTGTGTTGTAGTGCATACTGGAATTCTTTCCTTTCAACTAGGTAATGTCCCGCTCTGTAGGCACCACACCTCGTCTGTTCATCTGTATTTGTTTCCTTCTAGACTGTGAGAACATTCTCATTAAAGGGGATGACTACCAAACTCTTTGGCCAAGAAACTCCAGAGCAGAGAGAAGCCAGAGTAAAGGTGCTTGAAGAGCAGATAAATGAAGGGGAACAGCAGCTGAAGTCTAAAAATCTGGAAGGCAGGTAAAGTGCTGTGAGGCTTAACAGTGCTGGACAGGAGGGATTCTGTGTTTGTTCCTGACAGTTCCTACTTTCACTGGGTGAACCTGCGCTCACTGCACGGGGGAGCTGACAGAAACCATGTTCTATCATGCTATGTAGTCCAGGGGAGGGCGGGGAAGGGGACCAAATCTGTAATTTTATGTGCTGGTGCTTCTTACGATTTTTATTCTCTGTGCATTCTCTGAACCCTTCCTTTAACCCCCGTAACAAAGCCTGATCACCCTGCAGAACACAGCACAGGTGCCACTTCACAGTGAGCCTCCCATCCTCCCAGACTATCACGGCATGGAACTTGTTCTTCTGTAGTGTGCCGCTGGTCCTGGGTGACTGGGTGGTCAGAGACTGTCTCTGGAAAGCTGTGGGCCCTTCAGAGTCTGTAACTGTGAGGGCTGTACTCCCTTCACATTTTACTTTAAGGCTCGGAATACAGTTGTTCCATAAATATTTCTGGAAATTCATATCTCAAGGGATCTGCTCTCGTTTGTCTCCTTCCTTTTCTGTTTGTGTTCTTCTAAATGAGAAAGTGGATTAACACAGTCTATTGTTTTAGCCAGGAACTGTGGTGCACGCCTTTAATCCCAGTACTGGGGAGGCAAAGGCAGGCAGGTTTCTGAGTTGGAGGTCAGCCTGATCTACAAAGTGTGTTCAAAGACAGCCAGAACAGAGAAAACCTGTTTTGAAAGAGAGAGAGATTTTTTAGTGACTTTGTTAATTTTTGAAACTGTGGACTCTTTTAAAAAAATCTAAGTCAGAGCCTGGTGCAGTGGCACTTGCCTGTAATCCCCACACTCTGGGAGGAGAGGCAGGCAGATCTCTGTGAGCCTGGTCTACAAAGCAAGTCTAGGACAGCCAAGGCTACACAGAGAAAGCCTGTCTCAAAAAAACCAAAAACCAAACAAACAAACAAAAGGCAGTTTTCATTAATATAATTAAAAGGTCCCTGTAGGAATTGTTCATTCATTCATTGAGTTAGTTAGGGTGGGGCTTAGTCACTCTGTTACCCAAACTTGTGTGAACTCCCAGGGCCCAGTTCCCCTTCCACTTCAGCCTTCCTAGCAGCTGGGTCTTTAGGGACCTGCCACTGAGCCCAGAAGTCAGAGCTCAAGATCCAGATTGTTATTTTTAATTTATTTTTATTTTATGTGTATGAGTAATTAGCTTCATATGTGTGTGCACAATGTACATGCCTAGTATCCATGAAAGCTAGAAGAGGGTGTCATATCCTCTGGAACAGACAGTTGTAAGCTGTCATGTGGGTGCTGGGAACTGAACCCCAGTCTTCTGTAGGAGCAGCCTGTGCTCTTAACCGCTGAGCCAATGGTTTAAATGAGTCCCCAGGTTCATTTACATCTTGAACACACTAATCAGGGTTCATAATCAATATATATGTTCCAGTGGCCCAAGGCAGGCAGTTTCTGTGGCATTTGCAAGGCTATGGTCAAGGAAACATCCCTATCTGTTTGAACATAGAGCTGTTGTGGCCAAAAGTACTAATGTGCACAGAAAAGCAAACATAACAGAGTATTCAGATACCTCCTTTTTTCCTTTCACATACATTTTAGGAAAAGAAAAAATAACTGTCTTATAAAACAATAACCTTTTCTTCTGCATAGACAATGGCACAACTTACCTGTGGAGATGGGAGCAGGTGTCTGTTTACTCCAGTTAGGGCACAGATGACACAGCAAAGGCACAGTTAACCCAGCTGGGGGAGCCAGTGAGGTCATTGGGGTTACTGATAGGAACCCAAGTGATGCCTCAAGTCACTCACACCCAAGAGGTCCTGCCCAGCTTGCAGGCAGCTCCACGGAAATGGCGCTTGCCCTGGCGTTTGTTCACTGCCTCTGTGACCGTGCGAGGGAGGAGCCTTGTAAGTGGCGTTAGCTTCTGTCCTCCTGTGGTAGGAAGATGTTTCAGTGTGGAGAAAATGGCTATACAAACTGGCTGGCCGGGGGCGTAGTGTAGACTCTTGAAATGAGAGTAAACATGGCTATGTGTTTTATTTCAGAGAATTTGTGAAAAATGCATGGGCTGATATCGAACGCTTCAAAGAACAAAAGAACCGGGACTTAAAGGAAGCCCTCATCAGCTATGCCGTCATGCAGATCAGCATGTGCAAAAAGGTACCGGCCCTGGGAGGGTGCAGCTGCATAGAGAGGTAGCTTAATGGGTAGAGTGCTGCATGAAGCAGGAGGTGGAGGCAGGATCGGAGATGTAAAGTCTTCCTCAGCCTGAGGCTTGTGAGAACCCAGCTCAGAGAATAAAGGGCCCGTGAGAATGCTCTGTGGGTAAAGAGCGGCTCTCACACCTCATGTCTTAAGTCTGATTCCCACTTCCCACAGACCTCACTCCAACTCTTGCAAGTTGTCCTCTGACCTCCACACAATCTGTGCCACACAGAGAGATAAATAAAAATAAATGAGTAAGAAAGAGCTTATCCGTTTATGTAAATTCTCTTACTAACTTTTCCTAATTCCACAACTTAATTTTGAAAGAATTCTTATAGCTCAGATGTCAGTCACTGTGTCTCTAAGTTTGTGCCTGTTTATAATTTGTGTTCAGAAGTATACACCACAATGTGACTTTGGACACATGCATCCTGTTCTTGAACAGGACCCTAAAACACCATTCCTCATAATTGTTAGATGCTCTAAGAAAGAGTAGACGTATTATAAGGGAATTGGGGTTGTGGTTTGGTGTTAAGTTTTACAGACACCATATAGCCACTCTCTGTAGTGGAAGATAAACTTTGAAGCCGGAGACCTTTCTGCAGTAGCATTTAGAACAGAATAGAATGTGCTCCTTCACTTCTTTCTCCTCACCTGAGATCTGCTGGTGTGGCCAGAACCGGTGGCACCGTGTGCTTGTGTGCCCTGTGGTGCCGAGGATACACCTGTGCACCTCGTGCTTCGCCATTACCGACTCCTGTCCCACTGTGTGTACCTCTGGCACCACTGTGGGGTAGAGGGCGGTAACTAAGGCAGTCCTGCCGTCCAGCCTTAGAAGGAAGACCCACTAAAACCACACAGGCAGCTCTTGTGCATCTTCTAGAACAGGGAAGAGTTCAGTGTCTGTTCCAACTGAACTTTACATATTGTAAATATCCTAAAAATAGCACAGACATAATGAAAATTTCAATGATTCAGAACATAACTAAGTACAAGTCCACCCCACCACCGCCAAGATTCCCTTTAAAAATACTTCTCTGTTACACTGTAGTCTGCCTCCTTTTGGATATTTTGGTAGAGACAGTCAGGTAGAAAATACACACCTCTTTTTCCCTCAGATAAAACTGCATTATATGTGCACATGTAGACTTCTTTTGTAACAGTTCTGAGATCTGTCATGTTTTTTTTTTTTTTCTTTTCTGTAAAAAGAAAAAAAAAAGCGAAAAACCTTCCTGACTTATTGGGAGGGGGATGCGTGTGGGGTGTGGCAGCCATCTCACCTGCTTTTCATTTACTTTTCTCAGGCTAGGTCCTGACGGTGTAGCCTAGGTTGGCAGTGGCACAGGCACAGGGCCATATCGTTTACAGACGGGATACTCTGACTTCTTTGGTCCCGTTTATTTCTTTCTCTTGATTTACTGCCCTGGCTAAGATTTCATGACCCTATTGAACAAGAGTGTGAGACACCTCAGTCTTCCTGGTGTTAGAGGGATGTTACAGATGCCCCAGTCATGCTGGGCGTAGTGCTACATACACACCTTTAATCCCAGCACTTGGGAGGCAGAGGCAGGGGGGGTCTTAGAGTTCGAGGCCAGCCTGGTCTATAAAGTGTGTTCCAGGACAGCCAGGGCTACGCAGAGAAACCCTGTCTCCAAAACAAAACAAAAAAAGAAATGCCCCAGACACTATGCACTATTGGCTATATGTCTGTTGTATAGAATCACATTATAAAGTTTATTTTGTTTTCAGGGAATTCAAGTTTGGACCAATGCCAAGGAATGCTTTAGCAAGATGTAATCCCATGAAGTGACTTTCTCTTCAATCAAAGTGCCCCGAAACGAAGCACAAATAAAAAGAAATCCATTTGCCACATAATATACACAAAAGTATACGGTAAACTGAACAAATCAGCCTTCTTTAACTTAGGTATAGTTGTGTTCATATAGCACAAAAGAATACATTTTAATGAAGAATAAATATTATACTTTGAGGTTTTGGGGACTGGTGCTGATTCCAAAAAATTAATTTAATAAGAGATACCAACAGATTCTTAGTCAGGCTTCTGAACCAGTGACTGGACGTGAGGATGTTAGTTAATTTCCATGTGTTCCTCTCAGTGACAGTTGTTCCAAGTCTTATGTGGGGGAGTGCTTCCCAAGACAAGACTGCTGTGGGACCCACTTCTGCTGTAGGGTTATTTTATCTTGCCTTAGAATTGAACTGTTTGGTTTGACAAAGCCCAGCAGAAACTTGTTGTGAAATCTGAGGTTTTTCTTCCCTGTTCTTAGATCCCTGTACCACCTGTGTACACTAGAAAATGCCTTCAGTTTGTGTTTCACCAAAATTTTGATACTGATCAGAATTTTATACTGCCAACAATGAAGTTTCAGCTTCTCAGATTACTCTGATCTGGGAATCGCTGTATAGGAAGTTTTAATTGAGCATTATTATTCTCAAATAATTGTTAACCTCAGCAGCAAGCCGCAAGTTCTTCTGCTTGGCCCTGTGCACGTGGCATGTCAGGGTACGAGATGGAGCATTTCCATGTGTAAGACGCGCATAGCGAACACATGTGGGCTGGTGCCATCATCGCTTATGTACGTTTCTATTGCCTGGCTGTGGTGTTTGTAAAGAGAAATTACGTTGTTGTGTCTCAGTGTGTGTCTCATGTGCACATTCAGAAGCCAGGCACTGTCACTCTGCTAGCTACAGGGCCTTAGCTGTGCTTCATTATTTCTAATGTTTCAAACTATGCGCAGTACTGTTTAACATTTGACTTCTTTACATGTTTAAAATGTTGCTGGAGTTTTGTGCTGTTTGCCAAACTTATACAGTAAATAAAGGAAGTGTCGTGTTTGTTTCCAGATTCTTTTATTTTAAGATGAGCCATATATGTAAATACCTAATTTTGTGTAAGGAAGTATACATGCCATATTATGTTTTAAAATGAACTAATGTTGGTGTTTTGAAAAATAAGGTACTGAAATTAGAAAAGACTTAAATTTTTGGTTATGGTTTTGCTCTGGTTTGGTTCTTTTTGAGACAGGGTTTCATGTAGCCCTGGCCAATCCTGGAATTGGTTATGTAGACCTGGCTAGACTCACAGATATCCATCCACCTGTCTCTCCCATGCAGATGAGTGCTAGGGTTAAATGTATGGGCCACCATGCCTAGCTTTGCCATGGTTTTTAAAAAGATAACCGGTAGAAGCCAAAGCTATCTGTGTGGATACAAATTCTTCCCCTATGTGTTCTAACCTCTATTTATTAACAAAATACCCTTCTACATGATAGTTAAATATCACATGCCAGAGCTTGGGTTGTAGCTCAGAGAGTATTCACCTTCATGTGTGTCAGGCCCTGGTTTCAGTTCCTAATGCCACAGAAAGATAGATGACAAGCTTGAACTCAGAGTGGTCCATGCACTCAAGTGGTGGGGGCAAGGAACACAGGCTTGAGGCCACGTGGCCTATACAGTTGCAGGCAGCATGAGCTACAGTGAAGCCTTCCTCCCAAATAAAAGCCTCTTTCCTAAACTGTAACAGAATGTGGTAGGATTTTTTAGATTTATGGTATGAGTTTTGAAGATTTAAGCCAACCGTGGTGGTGTGTGCATATAAGCTCAGTTGCAAGGGCTGAAACAGGAGGCTCGCTCAGCTCGGGGGCTCAAGGGGGTGGCTCTGTTGGTAGCACGTTCCTGAGCTGGGGAGAAGCCCTGAGACTGATTCCTAGCACAGAAGGAATCAGTGGCCTCTCGTGTAATCCAAGGCTCAGGAGGTGAAGGCAGGAGAGCAGAAGCTCAAGGTCCTCTTCAGTCCCTTAGGGAGTTTGAGGACGGATCGGATTGCATAGGATGACACTGCCTCAAGGGAAAGGAGAAATAGAAGCACTGTATGGGCAAGTATGCCGTTTTCTGAGCAGATACCTCAGAGAATGCAAAACAGGGTTTCAAAAGATGTCTACGCCTATTCTCATAATAGCTAAACCATGGAAGCAGCTTCTTTTTTTTTTTTTCAGAGACAGGGTTTTTCTGTGTAGCTCTGGCAGCCCCTGCCTCCTGAGCGCTGGATTGCTGGGCTAAAGGTGTGTACCACCACCGCCTGGCATAACTATTTACTGTTGGACAAATGGGTTTCAATGTATTTTTTTGCTGCATTGCATAGAGTATCGTTCATCATTAAAAAAGGAAAGAAATCTTGACACACGCTGTGATATGGAATAAACCTTACTGCATTATGCAGTATTAAATAGGTCACAGGAAGATAAATCCTGTGCTCACAGTTATGTGGCGTGGCAGTCCCAACCGCAGAGACAGGAGTTAGAAGGTTGCCAGGGCTGGAGGTGGAATTTCAGATTAGTAAAATGAGAAGAATCAAGTATTGCCGTCATTTTGTGTGACATTACGAATGTAATTAATACCACTGAACTATATGCTTAATATGATTAAAGTGATTTATTTAAAAAAAAACAGAAGAGTTGAAGGGGGTGCTGTTGTGCAGCTCAGTGCTGTTGGAGGCTAACAGGTTGCTAACAGGTTGCTAGGCATTTTGTTCCGAGGGGTATGTGCGTGGGGCATGAAAGGAAGAGACTCGGTGCCCCGAGCACCTGTTAGAAGCAGAGTGTGTGCAGAGCCCAGACCAAGCCAAGTCACAGGCTGCCGAGCCACTCCCTTTGCTTTTCGGCTTCACTGGGGGCGGGGGGGCCTCCGGGAGAGAAAGGAGAGACATCATGATTGGATGTGTTTGTGTTTATACTAAGTAGATTTATGTAACAGGTTACACCTTATCAGGACTGACTTTTACATCAAAAATACTGGCCAAGCCGGAAGAGAACACCAGCCCTGTCCTTGTGCTGTGTTGGCTGCAGACAACTGGAGAACAGCTGGCTTTGTTCCCCCCATGTGGGTGCAGCTCACACAGGGGCTAATTCAGCAAAACCTTTCCCCTCCATCACCTTCCATTGCACAGCAGATCCAAAGAGCAGTGGAGGGTAAGTGTGGAAAGAGTTCAATGTATAAAAATGTGTGTGTTTAGCCATAGGGGTCAGTGCACACTGTAGGGCATTCCGTGAGTTTCTAAACGGTGAACTTCAGATATTTTCCTTCTTGGAATGTGTTTTCTGTTTGATCTAACAATCACAGTGTGGATGTATCGAAATCTCCCACACGGCCAGATGTGGTGCACACCTGTCATAGTAGCTTCGATTCAGAACTTACAGAACCCTAAAATAGAGTCCTTTCCTTCAGAGAAAGGATGTCAGGATCTTTGGAAGCCTAGATAGGATTTTCTCTCATCTTAAAGGCAAACTGAGGCCAGGTATGATGGCTCATGCTTATAATCCCAGCACTAGGGAGGACGAGGTGGGGGGGTCATCCCAGTTCAAGGCTAGTCTGAGCTACAGAATTAGATCGTGTCACAGTCAGTCAGTCAATAAACTAGTTGGGTACAGTGCCTACTTAGATCAGAGGCAGGAGCATCACTTGAGTCCATGAATTCCCAAGCAACATAAAAGCAACAAGGCTAGGAACCCCCTCCCCAAACAAAAAGCTCAAAAAACATAACAAAACAAGCCGTGAGTAGTTAAGACTAGAAGGGAAATGCCTCAGCCAGTTCCTGCAGATTTCTGGGCTCTGGGCAGGCTGTCTCCCGAGCCTGGGTGGCTTTCCTCAGTGCCTGTGGCTGCCACTTTCACTGCCTGCTCAGTAGCTTGGGAGGGTGACCTAAGAGGGATAAGGTGAGGCCCTGAGCCCAGTGGAGGTTACCGCGAGACAGGTGCATGGGAAACAAGTGGCTGAAAGAGGCCTGAGATGAACACTGCTGTTCAGTCGCCCAGGGCTAACGATGACCGATGACCGAGGTTGCAGATTCCTCCCCAGTTCCTTCCTGAACGTGAGCCCCTGGCATGTGAGCAGGAAGCCAAGCCGGTGACAACCTCTTTCCAGGTGGCTTTAAAGCAGATGGCTATAAGCCTCCAGAGCGCTGGTGGGGAGGAGGAGCTGGTGGGACGGTGGGGGCTCCCATGTCACCAGACACCCGAGCCCTGGTCCTTGTGTGCCCAGCTCATGTTCAGTGTGCACCAGCCCGGGGGTAACTGGAGCTCTAGGTGGGGCACCTGGGCATCCACAACAGGGAAGCAAAGGGCGTTCCTGGGAGGCAGTGTGCAGACTCTGGAGCCTAATGAATGACCGTAACAGATATTCTAGATAGGATAAAGGCCAATTTGCCAGGAGTGAGCCCAGCACTCCAGAGGCTGAGCCAGGAGGATTGCTGTGAGTTTGAAACCCTGTTCTACACAAGCACCAGACAAGCCAGGGATGCATAGTAAGACTTGTGGCAGAAAAGGAAAACAGTTCTGGAGGCCGAGAAACCTGAGACAGGCTGCATCCGCTTTCTTGACGTGTCATCACAGGGTAGGAGACAGACTGCACAGAGGAAGGGGGATCAGAGTGGAGGGGCACCCTTAGCTGTGTAGGGTGAGAGCATCCTGGGTCACATGCAACGCTGTCTCAAAAACTGAGAGGGATGGATGGGTGGTGGGGTAGGGGTAGGTAGGTGGGTGGGTGGGTAGCGTAAGAGACTGAATGATGCCAGGCAGGGGTGGCACACACCTCTAATCCCAGCACCTGGGAGGCAGAAACAGTGGGATATCTGAGTTCAAGGCCAGCCTGGCTTACAGAGCTAGTTCCAGGACAGCCAGAGCTACGTAGAGACACCATGTCTTGGAAAAACAAGCAAGAAGACAAAAAAGAGAGAGTGAATAACCTCAAGTCGTTTCATATCAATACTAACCAATTCACGATCCAACGGTTTGTTCTGTTTGTTTTGCACATTAAACAAACAAAAACCAGCTGAAAGCACTCCGAGAGGAGATTAAGTTCTCCAACAAAGCAATGAATACTAGGCATTAAATGGTTAGTTCGTTTGATTGTAACAACCTCCCACCCTCATAAAGAGCAGTTTCTATTTTATTTCGTAGAAGGTGAAATTCAGAGAGAAGACTTCTGTCAGGCTGGCCACCTTCCTCTCTTGTAGGCAGGTCCTGGACTCTAGCCCAGGCCGAGACCGTGGTTGGCTGTCCCAGATGGCCAGCTGCACTCTAAGAATTCGCCACTAGGTGGCAGTAGAGCCAGTGGACCAGGGAGAAGCCTCTGTTAGAAACGTTTTTCTCCCTTATTAAAAGTAGCACTGGCTTCTACTGCTGTAACTAAAGCTACATTATTCAATACAGTGAACATTAACCAAGTAGGCCCATTCCTTGGAGTAAAAAGATAATAAAGTAAACAGACCTTTAAACTTGGACATTTCGGCAATGTAATCGCTCGGAGGAGACTGTCCTCCGGGGACTCTGCAGACTTGGAGGACGCCGTGATGCGAGGCCTCCGTCCTGCGCTGGCTCAGCTGTGGTGATGCTCGCTGTGAGGGGAGCCTCCTGGGACGGGGTACCAGAATCTGGATCCAGGATGGAGACGGCAGGACCACTGCGGGCAGCGAAGCCTTGCCGGGGGAGCTTGCCCATCCTCTGGAAGGGGCGGGCTTCCAGGCTCGGGAGAGAATTCCGACTCAGCAGTGTCCAGCCAGGTTTTTGTTTGTTTTCTTTTGTGATGAAGGGCATGCTGGTTTTTTTGTTTTTGTTTTATTTTTTGTTTTGTTTTCTGATTTAAGCATAGGCAAACCTCTCATTTTTTATTATTACTATCCCAAGTTGGGTGTGTAACTCTTCTCCCTCTGAAATAGTTTTGAAAAAGAGCCAGGAGTGGTGGTGTGGCACACGAGTATAGTCCCAGCCTGGATAACATGACCAGACTCGTTCTGAGAAGGATTGGGGGCGTGGCTCAGGAAATATCGGGTTTCTTAGCACACAAGTGC